TGGGGGGGGTGTGGGGGGGTCACAGAGGGGTTTGGGGGAGAACTGGGGGAGTTTTGGGGGGAATTGGGGGGTTTGAGGGGGGAATGGGGGGGTTTGGGGGCAGTTTAGGGGGTCTCGGGGCAGATTTTGGGGTTCCCAGGGGAAGGTTTGGGGAGAGTTTTGGGGAGTCTCGGGGGTGTGTTTGGGGGTCCCAGGGAGGGGTTTTGGGGGTCCAAGGGGAAGGTTTGGGGAGGGTTTGGGGGGGGTCCCAAGGGTAGTTTTGGAAAAGGTTTGGGGCAGATTTTGAGGGGTCCCAGGGGCAGGTTTTGGGGGTCCCAGGGGTGGGTTTGGAGAACGTTTAGGAGCAGGTTTTGGGGGTCTCAGGGATGGGTTTGGGGGTCCCAAGGGTGGGTTTGGGGGAGGTTTAGGAACACATTTTGGGGGGTCTCAGGGACAGGTTTTGGGGGTCCCAGGGGTGGGTTTGGAGGGTCCCAGGAGCAGGTTTTGGGGGAGGTTTAGGAGTAAGTTTTGGGAGTTCCAGGGGTGGGTTTTAGGGGTCCAGGGGTGGGTTTTGGGGGTCCCACCTGCCCCTGGGTGGCCGCCCGCAGCTCGTGGGGATCGAGGACGCGGCTCCGCAGCTTCTCCTGCAGCTCCTGCCCGGGGAGACCCCACAATAAACAACCCCTGGGGGGGCTCCAGGGGGGCTCAGGGGGGTCCCGGGGGGTACCTGGAGTGTGGCCCCCTCGATGACATCCCGGGGGTCAACGACGTTCCCGAGGGATTTGCTCATTTTCCGGCCCCGGGAATCCCGGACCAGAGAGTGCAGCAGGACCTGGGGGGGCACAGGGGGGTGGGACCCCCATAATTGGGGGGGCACAGGGGGATGGGACCCCCAAAATTGGGGGGGCAGGGGACCCGGGGGGGACAGGACACCCAAAAAGGGGACGTGGGACCCCCAGGAAAGGAGCAGGACACCCGGAAAGGGGGAAAAGGGACCCCCAGGAGGTGAGGAGGGACCCCAAAAAGGGACAAGGGGACCCTAAAAGAGACATGGAGACCCCAAAACGGAGAAGGGACCCCAAAAAGGGACAAGGAACCCCCCAAAAGGGACGTGGAGACCCCAAAAACGGACAAGGGACCCCAAAAGGGAGAAGGGACCCCAAAAAGGGCCCCAAAAGGGAGAAGGGACCCCCAGGAAGGGACGTGAGACCCTCAAAAGCCTCAAGAGAGGACAAGGACCCTCAGGGACACTTGGGGACCCCCGGGGGACATCAGGAACCCCCAGGGGACACTTGGGAACCCCCCAGGGGACACTTGGGGACCCCCAGGAACCCCCAGGAACCCCCAAAACCCCCAAGGAACCCTCAGGAACCCCCAGAACCAACAAAGCCCAGGGATGGGAGGGGGGTGGTTTGGGGACCCTTGGGGACATTTGGGGACCCCCAGGGGACACGGGGGACCCCGTTGGGGACCTGCTGGAAGGGCAGGTGTCCGGTGAGCTGCTGGCCCAGCATGACCATCCGGGCCACCCAGAAGAACAGGAGGTCACTGCCTGTCACCAGCAGCGAGGACGGGAAGAACCGGCGCAGGTCGGGGGTCTGGGGGGGACAAAAGAGGGGGAAAACGGGCTGGGACCCCCCAGTGGGGCTGCCCTGAGACCCCCTGAGACCCCTGAGACCATCAGAGACCCCCCAAGATCACCAGAGATCCCCTGAACCTCCCAGAGACCCCCCAAAATCCTCAGGGATCTCCAGAGACCCCCCAAGATCACCCTGAACCCCCCAAAGAACCCCAGAGACCACCAGAGACCCCCCAAGATCACCCAGAACCCCCCAGAGACCCCCCGAGTCACCTGGAGGTGTCAGGGACATGGGGGGACACTGAGGGGGGTATTTGGGGGACATTGGGGGGATATTTGGGGATATTTGGGGGACATTTGGGGGATATTTGGGGGATATTTGGGGATATTTGGGGATATTTGGGGGATATTTGGAGTCTCACCTGTTGGGGCCATCCCAGAGCAGCAAAGGGGAACAGGGCGGAGGAGAACCAGGTGTCCAAAACATCGGGGTCTGCGGGGCACAAAAACGGGTCAGGGCACCCCAAAAACACACCAGGGGACCCCAAAATGGGTCAGGGCACCCCAAAAACACACCAGGGGACCCCAAAAACCCATCAGGATATTTTTGGGGTTAGTTGGGGGGTTAATTTAGGGTTATTTGGGGTTATTTGGGGTTATTTCGGGGTTATTTGGGGTTATTTTGGGGTATTTTGGGGTTATTTTTGGGGGTCTCACCCCTCCTGAGGACGATGCTCTCGGGGGGTCTCCGCAGCCCCTCGGCCGCCGCCGCCCTGGCCTCGTCCTCACTGCGCCCCACAAACCAGGGACCCTCCTGGGGGGGGTCCCCGGGCCCCCCAGGACCCCCAGGACCCTCCCCCAGCACTTGGTAGGCGGGGATTTGGTGACCCCACCAGAGCTGCCGGGACAGGCACCAGTCCCTGGGGGGGAAAAGAGGGGGTCAGGGGGGGTTTAGGGACCCCCAGGGGTGGGGGGGGACCCTCCCCAGGACAGCTGGGGACCCCCAGAGGAGTGAGGAACCCCCCCAAGGAATATGGGATCCACCTCCCTGGGACCCGTCCAAATACCTGGGACCCCCTTTTGGATACCTGGGACCCCCCCAAATATCTGGGATCCCCCCTTGGATACCTGGGACCCCCCCAGATACCTGGGACCCCTCCAAATATCTGGGACCCCCTCCCTGAGCCCCCCCCAGACTCCTGGACCCTCTTTCCTGGGACCCCCTTGGACACCTGAGACCCCCCAAAACACCTGAACCCCCCCTCCCTGAACCCCCCCTTCCTGAGCCCCCCCCGACCCCCCTTTTTGCCCCCCAGCCCCTCCTTTCTGCCCCCCAGCCCCCCTGGACCCCCCTTTCTGCCCCCCCTCTCACCCCACGTTCTCCATCCAGGTTTTCCAGTTTTTCTCGTGGAATTTGGGGACCAGGCGGAGCCTCCCCGATGTCACCGCCTGGGGGGGGGCACAGGTGACATCCCTGGGGGTGTCCCCACCCCCTAGGACCCCCAGACCCCCCCCAGGACCCCCCAGGGCCCCCCCAGACCCCCCAGGAGCCCCCAGAACCCCCCCAGACGCCCCAGGACCCCCCCAGACGCCCCAGGACCCCCCCAGGACCCCCCCCTCACCTGCAGGGCCTGCTGGGCCATCCCCCCACAGCTCAGGAACCACTGGGGCCTCAGGAGCTGCTCCACCACGTCCCCACTGCGGCTGGGGGGGCACAGGGGACACTTGGGGGACACTTGGGGGACACTTGGGGGACAGCCGGGAATATTTGAGGGCAGTTGGGGGCACTTTGGGGGTACTTTGAGGACATTTTGGGGACAGTTGAGAACACTTGGGGACAGTTGGGGGCACTTTGGGGGCAGTTGGGGGCATTTTGGGGGCACTTTGGGGACACTCAGGTGCAGCTGGGAATATTTGGGGAGGGTTGGCGGTACTTTGGGGACGGTCTGGGGGTGTTTGGGGCAGTTTTAGGGGAGTTTGCTCCGTTTTGGTGACACTTTGGGGACACTCTGGGGATGTTTGGGTCCCTTCCAGGGGCGTTTGGGGTGTTTTTAGGGGGGTTTGGGGCACCCTGAGAACACTTCTTGATGCTGGGGACACCTCAGGGCTCTGGGGGTCAGTCTGAGGACACTTTGGGGCCAGTTTGGGGCAGGTACCTGCAGAGGGGGAGGGTCATGGCGTGGTCCTGGACCCCCCGGAACAGCCCCCGCTGGGCCAGAGCTGCCACCACCTGATCCCGGGCCACGAACCTGGGGACACCCTGGGGACATCGGGGGGACATTGGGGACACTCTGGGGACACTCTGGGTACATTGGGGACATATTTAGGGCCAGTTTGGGGCCAGTGTGGGGGCTGTACCTGCAGCCACCCCCCCCCCGGGGGGTTGAGGGTCCCGTCGTCGCTGATGACCGAGAGCAGGGGCAGCCCGTGGGCACGGGCCAGGGCCAGGTCAGGGGCACTGTGACCCGGGGTCACCTTCACTGCCCCTGGGGACACACCCGGGGTCACCCACTGTCACCTACAGCCACCCCAGTGTCACCTCCTGTCACCTACAGCCACCCCAGTGTCACCTCCTGTCACCCAGTGCCACCCCAGTGCCACCCCAGTGTCATCTCCTGTCCCCCAGTGCCACCCCAGTGCCATCCCACAGCCATCCCAGTGTCACCCAGTGCCACCCCCACTCCTGGGCACTGTGACCCGGGGTCACCTTCACTGTCCCTGGGGACAGGGACACACCCACTGTCACCTCCTGTCACCCCGTGCCACCTGCAGGGACACCCCCCCCCATACCAGTCCCACACTGGTCTCCCCCAGTCCCCCCAGTCCCTCCCAGTCCCCCTGAGCCCCTCTCCCAGTCCCTCCCAGTCCGTCCCAGTCCCTCCCAGTTTGTCCCAGTCCCCCCAGTCCCTCTCCCAGTTCCCCCCAGTCCCTCTCCCAGTCCCCTCCAGTCCGTCCCAGTTCCCCCCAGTCCCTCTCCCAGTTCCCCCCAGTCCATCCCAGTCCCCCCAGTACCGGTGCCGGTCTCGGGGTCCACGCTGGGGTCTGTGATCAGGGGCAGGACCCTCCCACTGAAGGGGTGTCGGAGGCGGCGCCCGTGGAGGTGCTGGGAGGGGGCGGGGCCACACTATGACCACGCCCCCCACCCCGTAAACCCCACCCCGGGCCCCGCCCACCACCCACTGGCCCTTTAAGAGGTTGCTCTGGGGAAGCCCCGCCCCCTCGGGGGGTGGAGTCAACACCAACCAATCACCATGAGTTTCCAGACCAAAAAGGCCCCGCCCCTTCCATTGGTCACACCAGCCACGCCCTTTATAGGAAGCCACACCCAACATGCAAAACAAGCCACAAGCCACACCCCCTTTGCCACAAACCCTGCCCCTCCACAGGCCACACCCCTTCCCTTAAGCCACGCCCACCCCTTTCCCTTCCCTCCAGCCCCTCCCCTTCTGGACCACACCTCTTCAAGCCCCGCCCCTTTGAGAACACACCAATTCAAGCCCCACCCCCCTAGGCCACGCCCTCTCAGCACCACACCCATCCAGGTCACACCCCTATAAACCACACCCACTCGGGTCCCACCCTTCCAGACCACACCCACCCAG